AAGGCATGCTTTAATCAGACCAATTGCATGCTATTCTCTGTGTACTCTCTAGATCAGGGCCTTTGGTGTCTGGACTATAACAGGGCAGCAGTCTGACTGATTATACATTGCACAGAACTGTATATGCATCATTCCTGTATAAAAATTGGACCAGCTCTTTGAGCATTGTGATTAGTTTATTTTATAAAGGTACTTAAATCTCACCACCACTGGCAAAGCTGTTGAGAGACAAAGGAATAATAAATACTGAGTTACTGATTTAATTCAGTTAGTGGGATATTTGCTGATTTGGGGCAGAGAAAGTTAATTTGCAACCCTAATGTGCAAACATTTCTTACAAGTAATTTGTAGTGAATTTCCTTGCTGTGAGGCAACCTGACGTTGCTGCTGGAGGTATTCACGTGTTCCCACCAACCACTTCTTTGTCTTAGCCAGACACTTTTTTCCTCTTTGCTTTGGAGAGTTAAATGAGCATAACAACAAAGTATGTACTTCTTTTCTTTTGATGCAGGGTCAAAGCAGGTGAATCCACCTGCAAGGAGAGTGGTAGAGCCAGCAAAAGGTCATAGTGGAAGTACAAGGGCATCATCTGGAGCAAAGCAGGCAAGGGTTTGCCTGACTCTTTCTTCAGCAAGAAAGAGTCTTTCTTTCAAGAGTCTTCAGCAAGAAAGACTCTTTCTTCAGCAGCAAAGTGCTAATTTGAATCTCAGATGTCTAATGGAATTTCAGCTTTCAGGAAACCCAGTAATGCTGGCAAGTTTTGTGGTTTTTTCCAGGTGCTTGATCACATGATAATGTAACCCAATTTTCCATTTGGTTTTGCAGAACTAGATCTTTATCACTCATTTCAGTGCTAAAAGCAAGATATGTAACAAAAAGGCTGGTACCTTGGCTTTTTATTTTTTAATTCCAAAATTTTAACTTCAATTTTTAGTTGTTTCTGAAGCAAAATTAGGTCACGAGGAATTTAAGAATGTACTTGGACTTACCAGATGGGGAAAGTGAAGTGTATCCCAATAAATGCCATCTTAGGCAAGTTGCTCTGCTGTAATGTTTATGTTGAAAACACAGTCCAGAGACTTTGGAGATTAATGATGGCATATATTTCTGAAAGACCCTGTATCTCATTGCTAAATGTCATTCAGAATTGGATTTTAAATTTATCTCCATCTTGCCTGATGATTAGGAAACCATTCTTTACTGGTTGAAAAGCACTGAACTGGCTGCCCAGGGAAATAGTGGAGTCACCATCCCTAGGGGTATTTAATAGACATGTAAATGTGGCACCTGGGGACGTGGTTTAGTGATGGGCTTGGTAGTGCTGAGTTAATGGTTGGACTCAATGATCTCAGAGACTTTTTCCAACCTAAATGACTCTATAATTCATTACTGCAGTGACTGCAGGCTCTTTTCTATATCGAGCACACATCAGCTTAGATGCATGCTGGAGGTGAAGTCTGTAAAATTGCAAATAAGCAATTCTTTTGGTTTTGCCATTTTTCAGCAAAATGTGACTAATTGCTTTCGATTAATTAGTTAGTATGTTCTACTTCAGTGAAAGTGCATTTATTTCTCCAGATGAAATTGTTGTCTGAGCACTGGCTCTCAGTCGACCTGGTCAATGCTACTTTGAGCAGTAGGATGCAGCGTTAAAGTCACACATAACAGAGTTATGGCAAAAAGCATTTAGTATTGACTAAAGCGTAGGCTGGGAAATTTACAAGTGTTACAGAAGGGGAATTCCTACTTCAACGAAGATACCATTTTCTTTTTTCAGGTCTTTTTATTACTAACCAGGTTTCTAAATACATAATATGTAGCAAAATTTAAATACCAGCTGAAATTGCACCTTTTTTTTCTTTTCCTTCTGCTTGTGTTGTATGCCTTTAATAGCAGCTCAGTAGCAAATGTCTCTGAAAAAGAAAAAAGTCTGTCTCCATGCTGGTTCTTGCATTTTCTCAGTGGTTGTGTGCCATATGGTTTTACAGTAAAAGAAACTTTCAAAAGGCATGTAGGTGGACTAAAAGAGGAGGAACAAAGTTAGTCTTATGAAAACTAGTAGACAATTAGCTTAATTGAATGCAAAAACTTTAACATGATATGGGGCTGTACCCCAAGCAGGAAATTTTAGCTATGCCATCACAGAGCATTAGAATATTTCCTTGGAGTAGTATTTTGTTAGAATCAATTGAAAAGCAAAAGTTATCCAGAACCATTAAGTATGTTATTATTCTACATTTTATTATTCTACACTTAGTAGTTCATCACTTTCCTTGTAGCTTTAGTCCTTTCTTTAGGGAATTCATATCTTAATGAAAGTAATTTCCTTGAACTGTTATAAAACCTCCATATTTCCAAAGCACAGAAATTACATAATTATATTTATGATAAACTGTTGAATGTCACTATTCATGATTATATCCAGGTGTGCTAAATCATCATCCTGGATCAACATTTGTATTTGTTATTATTTTGACACGCAACAATTTCAATGCAGTAATAGCTGTTAGTTTTTCTGGACCATCCAGGGGATTCTTTTCCCATTATTTGGTGGATGTGGTTTTTTTCTGTTCTTGCATTCTAAAGTGAATCCTATTCTGTGTGATTTTCCATCCTGATTCAGAATTAATAGTAAGGAGACTAAGAAAGTGTGCAGACCTTTAAGACTTTTTCTCTCATTTTTGCAATTCTGATGCAACATCCCAGCCTAAGAAAGTTTCTGTCAGCATTGTCCTGAAAGTGTTGTCAGATGTGTCAGGGGATAGACATGAGAAACATGCTTGCACCAGTATTAGGGAAGTTCATTTCCAGCAGCAGCAGTGCAAATTCACATCTGGAAGAAGTAAGTGATAAGCAAAGTTTATCTACAATAATATCAAGATTGGAGAAGTTCATTCCTTACCTGTGTCAGTGCTGATATGGATAATTTAGTTGTCATTTCTGCAGTTGTTCTGGCAGCACAAGGGCTTTTAGGTACAGCAATAAATCCTTCTTGGAATTGGTGCACAGATCTGATGTTTTATTCCCCACTACATTAAAAGCAGTTAAAATTGGGATATTATTTTCTATTTCACTGGCAAAGGGGTTTATGAATCTGAAAACTCCAGAGAATTTCCTTGTCTAAAACCAGTTTCAAGTTATGAATTTTCTTCACTAAAGAAGAAAATTAATGTCAAGATTTAAGATATAATCTTGGATTAGTATATGATTTCTGCATATGTGGGCTATAGGTAAGAAAGTAGTCTGTCCAGCTACTATTGCAGGTACTTCACTTTAATATCATTTATTTCAGTAGACAAATAAGATCTATTCAATCCTAAAACTTTGCCATCCTATGTCTCTCATTCTGGAGAGATAGGAGGCATGTTGCTGACTATGGAGTGTATTGTGAACAGAATTCAACATGGTGTGGACATTCCCATGTAAACCATAAGGCACTGTATTGAAAATACACAGATCTGGAAAAGGAGAAGTGAATTTTCATTAACTGGAGGAAAGCACCATTTGGACTTAAATGCCAACAGCTGAAGAAAATCCATTTCTTAGTAGGATTTCTTATCTGGATGCTATTATAAGGAAATAAAGTTCATGTGCTTTCCAACAAGACCACTGTGGAGATCTGTAGTGCCCATTGCAGTGCTATCAGGGCACCAAGACTTTTGAATCCTGTTGCAGTCAAACTTCATTGCTATGCTGAGAAAGCAGCTGCTGTCCTTTGCACTCAGAGAATTAGGAGGGTTTGCTTTGTAGAGTTCAAATTAAGGAAGAACTTAGAGACTAACAGTGAACAAATTTAAGAATGAATAAAGGATAAGGATAGATTCCCATAGGATTCCCATTAATTCCCAGGCTGCCTCCTAGTGATCAGCTTTCCCTCTACATTGACAGTTACCCTTTTATATTTTGTTTTGTATTGTTTCTCTCATGAATTTCAGAATACAGCACTTAATAAAGCAGGTAATTTTACATGCACATTTCCAAAATTCAACTAATTTTGCCCTATAATTCTAGCTGCTGCTTTGCCTTAGTGTATTGGGCAAAGTACCATCACAAACAAAGACTTTCAGAAAAGTGAAGAATTACAGAAAAGGAATATGTCTTTGATACAAAGATTTATCAATCAAATTTAACTCTAAAAACTTAATATCTCTGAGCAATTGAAAAGGGAGATGTTAGGTTCCTGGATGGAATCCTAGACTGGGTTTTTCTTACAAGTTTTCATTTCAGAGTTAGCTGGCTGATGGGCCAAAGTCAAGATTTCAGAGAAGTCAGAGCTGCTTTCTGTTACAATTGATGAGAAATGCAGACAAAATAAGTAAGACTTCTGAAAAGAGCTACAAAATTAACTGTAAACATGTCATTTTTCCTACAGCATCTTAATTTTTCCACAGTGTATTATTTTGTTGGTAATAAAGTATGAAATATTTCTTCCAAATATTTATGATTCAAGACTTAATATACTCAACAGTAAGTATCAGAGTTGCTGTAGTCACTGTGACTTTACATTGTTTGGATTTTGGTTAGTATGTTTTGAATTTGAGTATTTGATCTTAATGGATGACCTTGTTCTCTACCTTGTTACTTTCAGCTCCTCCCAGTATTTACTGAAATTTCAGAATAGCACCAGCTTTTCAGGATCTATTATTCAAACATCATGCTAGAAAGGCATCTAGAAACACAATGTTTGGTCTATTGATGATTTGTGATACTTTTTGTAAAGCAAAGTTATTGAGATCACAGCTGGGTTTACTTAAATGGATTTAATGTTCAGGATTGTCCTGAATTGTGTTCATTAGGCATTTGTTTAACAAATAGAAGGTGTTATCTGAGATATTATCAACTGAAAAATGCAGATAGTCTGTGTTTGTTCATCATAGTAACATAACGTACCTGTTCTTCAGATTGATCGCCATGAATACATTATTGCTCTAACTTAGTGGGGGCTTGATTTTTTTTATTTGTTTGGGGCTTTACATTTGATCTTCCTTGTTTTCATATAGGGAGAAAATTTTAAGCAAGAACCCTGGATTCCTGTTAATAAAAGCAAAGGAGAAGGAAAAGAGAAAAAGAAACAAAGCAATGAAAAGTAATTGCACAGAAATTACGAAGAAATTGTTATGTGCAGTAGCTCATCATCCAATTCCAGGTGACCATGACAGATCAGAAAGTGAAGAGGATGACTTGGAAGAAGAAAACAAAAAATCAATGTGTGCATTCAGCAAAGGCCCGGAGGATCCAATAAGAACTTGTGAAGAGCAGCCTAAGAGTAGTGATGAAAGCCTAGAAGAAGCTGCAGGGATTTCAAGAGAGAGTTTTCTGGTTGCTGTGCCTGAGGGCTCAGTGATGTCAAATAGTGCACAGAAAAATGAATTGCCTGTAGAAAGTGACAGTTTGCTTTTAAGACATGTAAAACCTTTTTGTACTGAAAACCTAACCAAAAATGCATTCGATGACAAGGAAGCAAAGCAGAGGCAGAAAGACAACCTCTGCAGTTTCCTAAGAATAAGCAATGATAAAAATTCCGTCCAGGAAACAGAAGGCATTTCTGAAGACTATGATATATCATTGTTAAGCACAGAAAACAAACTGGGATCATGCCAAATTACATGTGAACCTGACTTGGAAGCCAAGAGTGTAAGTTTAAACAGTGAAGAAAAAGAAATCTCTCAGTATTGCAGTTCAAATATACTTAATAATGTGCCTGATAACACAGAGAGCAAATGTCCATTTTTAAAAGCAGAAGAAACTGCCTCCAACGCTTGGGCTTTTTTTTCAATTAATTTATCTACTGAGGAGTTGCAGATGGACTTCAATACTCAAGTTTCTCTCTCTCCTCGCTCTGAGGATAAATGTGTAAGTGAACAAAAATCTCAAAAAGTGAGGAAACCTGAACAGACTCACATGGACAGTTCAGCAGAACTAAACTGCTATCAATCAAATGAGGGATTGGTAAAGGAAAACCATCTTGAAACAGAAACTGAGGAAGCTGGCAATGTAATAAGCAATGGTCTGCCTGCATCTCCAACTGGTAAAGTGCACTTTGATTCTCTAGTGGAAGCCAGGGCTGCCTTCATGCAGGGTTCAAGTGAAGTAAATTTGCCAATAAATGATGCTACACCAATTACACTGAAGAGGAAGAGATACAGGAGAATTGTCAACTTAGCACCAAAGTTTAACCTACCAAGACAGATCTTTGCTCATACAGAGGAAGGGAAGGACATCCCAGTAAGAGAAGATATTCCCCAAAACAGTGTTTTAGAAGTGAGGCAAAAATACTTTCTAAGCAAGAACTGTGGAGAAGCACATGAACAGGACCATGCATTGCAGGAATATTCCTCAGCCACTCCGGATGCAGATGCTCTGGTACATAATATTTCTTACACTCATTCAGGACCATGTTCTCCTATATCAAAATATGCCTGCAGGGTTTGTGTCGATTCCAAAACAAAGGAGGAGCAAGCTACTACACTTCAGCCACAACAGGTAGTTAATAAAAAAGAGAACAAGGGTGAACATGTTTCTTCAGAGGTTACAAATGGCCAGCCAGATAATTTGTCTTCTGTTAAAGTTGTTTCTGAGTATCTAGAAGATTCTACTACAATGGCAAGCTGCAGTGAAAATGCAAATGGAGCAGATGACTCTGAGCCAGCAAAGGCATCACAGCCTGAAGATTATCAAGATGCAGATGTGAAATGCAGTTTTCTGGGACTTCCCTTATCATTAGGATTTGCTTTTCAACTTGTGCAACTCTTTGGTTCTCCAGGTCTTCCACTGGGTATAATGCTTTTCTTACTACTCCTATGTAAAACAAAAAAAACCCACAATCCCCTCAAAACCACGAACAAAAAACAAAGCACTCCCTCCAAACCAAAAAACAAATGAAAAGACTATGGTTAGAAACTAATTTTTATTGCAGTTTTTAGTTAAATATTAATTCTGTTGAAACAAATCACTGCTATTTTGGTGACAGTTTTTAGTTTGTACCTAAAATCCTCCATCTCTGTCAAAGGGGCTTTTGGTTTGGCCTTGTACTTGCAGTCTTTTTAGTAACAAAAACTGACTAACTTTAAATCCAAACATTAAATGCTTGCTGAATTTTCAATATATCCCAGTAAGACTTTTCTGTATTGATTACAGAACTAAATTATGTTTGAATACATCCTACTGAGTAAGACTTTACTGTGATGATTATGGAACTAAATGAAAATGTGGAACAAAATGTGTGCACTTATATAAAGGCTGCATGTTTGGTTTTATATTCCAGATAGTAACATTCTTTTTTATTTTAATAGAGTTTTCATACACTCTTGTGTGGCTTAGATGCTGTTGAAAAACTTTCCCAAAATCTAATTTGGTTTGAAATTCAATATCAGGCTTACAAGACGTCTTCTGAAAATGAATGTCTTCTTTTTAAGTATGCCTTATTAGTAAGTGTCCTGGTGTTGTGTACTTGCCTTCCAGAGCTCCAGATATCTTATTTTTGTGCTTTCAGTTTAATACTTTCAAGTTAGCAGGTAAAAGACAAGCAATCCTCAAAGGAATTGAATGTGCCAGCCACCATGTCCCAGCCTGTATACTGCAGGCTAATGTAATCCCACAGAGCTGTAACCAGTGAAAACAAGAAAACAAGAGAGGTTTGTTTGGAAGTCTCCCTAGAACACCTGCTGAAAGAGACATATTCCCTGTGCATAATGTTTTTCAGCTTCTTGAGTCCACATTTAGTGGAGAAACTTTAACTTTCACTTAGCCAACAATTAGGATTTAAAAAAAAATAGGCCAGTTTTTCAGTATACCTTTACATTTGTTTGTTTCAATAGAATTTAAAGTTAAGCATGAATTTTCATATGAAAATTTTAATCTGACATCTGAGGGGTAGCTTATGTCATTTATCTGCTCAAACTGACCTCAGGATTCTTTGTTGCTTTTTAAAAGTCCATGGCAATGACGTCTGCCAGAACAATGATGAAAATCATAGGAAGCATTACTTGGCTTTAGGTCCCTAAAGGGGGACATAAAGGACTGCTTTACCTGAATCTGGCACCACACACCAAAGAATTTGCCATATAGAGCTGAAAGTAAGCAAAGAAGTACTGTTGATGTCCTCAATTGTTGCACATAAAACATTTTTCTTCTCCAAACTTGATGAATCTTCATATTTGTGATCTTAAATTTTATAATGTTAGAGGGACTTGGCCATGACTTGAAAACAGGCAACTTTCAAGAAAGAAAAAGAATAACCAGGCATTCAGAAACACTCAGTAGCTTAATGAACCAAATGTCCTTCTGCTCTGAGTCAGTAACAGGTGACATTCTCTGGAGTTTAGGTGAGTTTCCTTTGGAAATAACCTTCAAGAAATACAAATCTACCCCAGTATCTCTCTGAAGCTCTGCCAGCTTGTGACTGCTGACTGCTGGGGTTTTCCCACCAGAATTGTACCTGGCTGGCCACATTCTCCTTTGTTATTATTATCCTACAATTCCAAAAATTATCCTGCTTTTTTTTTTTTTTTTGTGGCATTCAGTACATTGACAGACAACTATTTATGGATGCACACATTTGAGAGGTATTATTTTACAACACTTGGAATTACAGTCAATCTTTATTGAAGTTATTTTGGAAGGGAGGATTTTGGTAAATAAATGTCTTTAGTTATTTATAAATGGAAGATTTAATTGCATTTCTTGCTTGTATGATCCTTGTATAAGTGTAGAATATAATTCAGACAGTTTTCCTATAAAGAACCTCTTTTCAGCTTTTTAAAGAGTGTTAGAGTTAAAACATTTTAGGAAACACCTTCTCTACTAATAGTGCAAAAACTCTTATAATCAAGCATTTTAAATTTTAAAAGTTGTTAATTAAGTTGAATTTAATTTAATGGCTGAAAACTTTGTTCTTCTTGTGTGTGCCTATTTTTAGGGGAGTATGTGGGGGAAACGAAAGTATGGTAGGAAAGTCTTTGTCTAAATAAAGAAACGAAACCCAGATCTCCTTCCCTCTCTTTCCCCTCATGTGCACTGGCCTTAGATTCCAGAAATTCTAAATTCTGATTTTGCTGCTGGCTCATTTAAATATCTGCTTTAAAAAAAAAAAATATAAATAACGTGTGCAAAAATCTTAATTCATTTATATATTTTGGCTGTGGAGGGATCTGAACACTCAACTGCAAAAAATATTTTCTTCTGCAGAATCCTTGTTGCCAGATGATTATGTAGTTCCCCTTGACTGGAAAGTTTCAAAGATGATCTATTTACTGTGGAAGACCTCTGTGGAGGTATGAATTTTAGGGGATTTTGGAAGGCTTTCCAATATTTCAGGTGCAAAGGGGAATTCTTCAGTTCTTTGTTAGTAAATTTGCTTTAATATCCATAATGAGGAGGCAGATATTTTTCGTCCTCCTCTGAGTATTTCAAAAACCAGCTCATTGGCATGATAGGATTCAGATTTTAAAATATCAGAAGCGTGCACAACTACTAGTTAAAAAAGGGTGAAAAAACTTTGATACCTGTGTCTTGACCTGACCTATGTTCATTAAGTACAAGCTACCATCATTCAGATGTTTTCTGTCTTATTGTTTTCTCTCATCATCTGAGCAGATCTCATCCTCCATCACCTCTGCTAGAGCTGCAGCAGAGAAGTCATTCTGCGTGACTGTGGGCAAATTAATTCTCTTTGTCTAGCTGGGAAAGTGTTAACTTATAAATTACCTTTTTTTCCTTCTCCAGTAGTGGAAATCAGGAAAATCCTGATTACAATGAACTAGTTAATATAAAATAGAGCATGGACTTTGTTCTTGCCCAAAATAACATCTCTTGTCACATACCTTCTTTTTGCTGGACTAATGTTATCTATTTTAGGAAAAACAGAAACCAAATGGATTGCAGAATGAAGATGGCTTGACTGGTAAGTCTATTCTGTGATACAAAAACTGTATAAAATTCTTCTTATCAGGAGGGGTATTATTATCACTAATTGGTTTTTGTTACCAACTAATGATAATACTTCTCTTTGTGCAAAAGCACAATGATGTGATAAGTGAATTTATGCTGCCGTTGATCGTGTCCATAGTCCACAGAGCTATGGTTGCTATCATCACTTCATTTTTCCTCATCTAAGTGCTAAAATAGCCTTATAAATTTTCCTACATTGAAATATTCCAGTAATTAGCTCAAGTTTATCCATTCTAGATCATAGTGGTATTTAGCATTGTATATTCTTTCTTGAGACTTTAGTTCCCTGAAAGGTTGAGTATCTTCAAGTTAATTAAGCTTCATTAACACTAAAAGTTGGCAGCATAATAATAGAACCATGGAATTATTTAGGTTGGAAAAGACCTATAAGGTCATTGACCCAACCATTAACGCAGCATTGCCCAAGTCTGTCCCTCAGTGCCACATCTACTTTTTTTTTTTTTTTTTTTTTAAACACTTTGGGAGATGATTATTTCCCTATTTCCTGGGCATCGTGTCCCAATGCCCAGCCACTCTTTCAGTGAAGAAATTTTTCCTAATATCCAACCTAAACCTCCCCAGTGAAACTTAAGGCCATTTCCTCTTGTCCTGGCATTTGTTATCTGGGAAAAGAGACCAAGCCCCACCTGGCCACCTGGCTACACCCTTCTTTTAGGCAGCTGTTGAGAGCAATAAGGTCCCCCCTAAGTCTTCTTTTCTCCAGGCTAGACAACGCCCCCTGCTCCCTCAGCTGCTCCTCATCAGACTTGTGCTCTAGACCCTTCCCCAGCTCCACTGCCTTTCTCTGGACATGCTCCAGTACCCCAGAGTCTTTTGATAGTGAGGGGCCCAAAACTGAACCCAGAACTTAAGGTGTGGCCTCACCAGTGCCGACTACAGGGGCACAATCCCTGCCCTGCTCCTACTGGCCACACTACTGCTGGTACAGGCCAGGATGGCATTGGCCTTCTTGGCCACCTGGGCACAGCTGGCTCATGGTCAGCTGCTGTCAAACAGCACTTGAGGTCACACACCTGGGCAGGAAGAGATATCAGGGTTCATGTGAAGCTCTGGACTTCCGCACGCATTAATGCCTGCAGTGGGGAAGCTATGGGATATGGTTGCTCGTTGTCTTTTTCCCTGATTTCCATATTAATGCACTACATTTCACAGGTTCTCTAACAGGTGTAAAAGTACACAACTGCTGATAGAATTTGCTGTCTAAAAGAGGAGAGAAGTTTCTCTATTTTAGGAGAAAGGCTGTTTCTGGAGAGGCAGTGTAAGAGTGGGAATAGACACACACATGCATGGGTGTTTTCTCTCACTCCCCACACCCTATGAGAGACAAAACAGAAAGATTTCATTTATTTTATAAGGCATTTAGGATGCAAAAATAATGAGGATTCTGGTAAAATAAAAGCTTGTTCTAGAAATACTCTATCTTGACACAACAGAAATGAGAGACTATGTAAGGTAATTTCAGGTGGTTTTGGCTGCAGTTTGTAATTTCTTTATTTTTTAGATGATATTATTAATCTTGAAGATCTAAATAAAAATCCCCAAGAGAATAAAGACTCTTCTGAAACACTATCAGACATGGAGTTATGTCAAGATGTGATAGAGGAGAACATCATAACCTGCACTGGCTGCCTGGATGCTGCATTTCATCAGTCATGAGTGACTCTAAAATTCTGCATGAACAAACAGGTAATCAGTCACCTTGTGAATATTTTACTCTTTTATCTTTACCAAGTATCTTTTTATTATATTTGACCAAACATCTAAAAAATATTGTTTGTTATAATTTTTAAGGTGCATTTAGTATCCTCCAATTTACTTGGGTTTTAACTGAGTTAGGGTTGAGGGTTGTTCAGATCTTGTTTCTTTCAAGCCTGGATGGAGAAAAGAGAAGGCAGTATTTTGTTATTAAAGCCATATGATTTTATTTTTTCCTCTGAAATCTAAAACATGTGTGGTGAAGTGAAAGCAGCAGGGTAGGATGCCTAAGAGGCGGAATTTATTCCCATTTTGGTTGCTGTGGCAATCTGTTGTGAGTCATCACAGTCCCACTTTCCTTGTCTTTTCAGCATGGAGAATAATGCTGGCTCCATTAGGGGTCTTATTATGGAAAGAACTCTAGGAATAATAAAAAAGTATTTCACCAAATTATGAAGAAGTGGCAGTTCTGCTTTTCAGTAGAGAAACAGTAGGAAGAGGTCACACTAAGACTTGGTATATTGAAATGTTAAATTTTCATTAATGCTTTCATTTGGTGTGACAAAGTGTGCTATCATGTTCTTGCTTGTCTCATGAATTTTTGAACCCTTTGGTAACTTGGCAAAGTTTCTTTGGTTTGTTTATGAGAGATATTCTGGGAAGATTGAGATAAAAGGGAAGGATTATGGGTTCCAGCAGGAAAATGCTAGCTTAACTTCTCTATCGTTTGCCGTCAGTTGTTCTTTCCAAAATGGAAAATGGATTAATCTGTAGTTTTTAAACAAATAAACTGAGGTACAGGGAACAGAGTAACCTACACCATGAGCAAACTGAGCCATTAAAAGATTCCACATCCTGAGGCTTAAATTGTTCCCATCCAGACATCTCAGGACTGCTGGAATATCATCCACATGGGGTGTGGTCAGGGGGTCTTTGTCACCTGGTGCCCTGTGTCTGACCTGACCATGCCTCCAGTCGATGGCAGGAACAGGTCAAGGAGGTGGGTGTGCACTGTGTTGCAGCTGTTATAAACACAGAAGTTTTCACAGTGGATGTTCATGTCACAGGGGAAGTAGTTGGATACTTTGGGTTGGAATTCAAACCTCTTGGATGGGGTTTAATTTGACTATATGTCATTGATGACAAAAATGACGTTGCAGGCTGATTAGCTGGTACCAGCTACCAGTGTAGGAAGATAAAGGAGATTTCTGTGAACCATGTGGCCCAGAGAGCACTGGTTGTGCAGGATGGTCTCAGCACAGATCATTAATAACATCAAGAACATCTGGTAGCAGTATTTTCCTCTTAAATAATCAGATACTACAATATTGGGCAAGCAAATAAAAAATATTTGCACAAAATACTTAGGTCTACACCTGTTACCAATTTTTAGAAGCTACTGATTTATAATATTGCAATACAAACACTCTAGAAGCAGGATTTTGGCTTACAATCCTGACTGGATGTCTGTGAGGGCTTGTGTCCTAAGCTATTATCCAGAAATGTCCAGGTTATTGATTAAATATTTATATGCTAAAGAAACAGCTGTGAAGAGCTATGTTCACTTCCTGGGGAGAAAATGGTGAAATATGAAACTTCTTCCTTTTGTGCTTCAAGAAAGAAAAGACACATGCTAGAAGATTATCCTCCCTTATTGTCTATACCTTTATCTGGTTGCTGAATCCAACAAACAGGTTTTTTCCCATCAGATTTACTCCCTTTATCTGTCTGCTCTGCTACTCCCAAAATTGTTTCAGTCTTCCTCTCCTGCTTGTCATGAACACAGCAGAAATGACCCAGAGCCCTGCGTATTTGTCACCCAGCCACTGTGTGCTGCCAGGAAACCCCAGTTTGTTATGCTGTCTTGCAGTCTAACATTCTACTGTGTCAGCTTGTGTTAGTTCTCTGGAATACAGAGTGAGAGCAATGCAGACTTTGCCACAGAAGAAGACTCCCCATCAGTGTTTGGCTTACAAAAAGGCCACGCACTGTCTCTGCAGGGCTTGGCCATTGATATCTATGGTGGAATGGGGAGGTACAGCTGGAGTTTTATGTTGGGGTTTTTTGCTTTGCTTTGTTTTAGTTCAGCATTTGAAATGAGTCAGGGAAGGTCCTGCAGGCTGTTGGAGGAAGAGGATGAGACACCAGAGGTCAGATGGGTTTAGGCTACTCTGGAGTTGGGATCTGCCATCTCAGAGCAGGCTGATGCGAAGGGTAACTGCTGCCCAAAGACTGAAGTGCCCTTCCTCCCAGCCCTGCTCCAGATAGCAGCTCCAGCAACTGCTGGCTGACACGAAGGCTGTTATTAATTCACTAAGCCCACAGCAAACAAATCAATACTTTCCTGCTGGACTGAGGCACTGAGATAAGCTACTGTAAGGTCCAGCTCAGTGCCAAGGCTGGGGCAAGGGAGCAGATGAGGTTGTGCTGCTGCAGATATGAGGAGGGGCCTTGCAGGGTGTCCTGTCTGGGCAGCAGTCAGCTCTGATATCAGGGGCCATGTATTCTGCAACCAAACCTTCAGGGAGAGGATTCTTTTAAGCTTTTACAAAAGTAGGATGTTAGAAGAATTAAACTAAGAAAAGTATGTGGAAAGGAAGAAGCATGTCTTGGGGTTTTCAGTCAGCTCATGCTCAGTGTCAGGCACAGGCCACGGGGTAACGCAGACCCCACGTGAGTATTCCAATGCTTCCACAATGTCTGCATGCAGGCATTGTAAAAGACAGGTGAGTTTTCCTGATCAATGGTGCCCCTGGCTTTGAGGGATCAGGTTGTCTTACCTCACCACAAAATAATTCCCCTCTGGTTCCTGGTTAAAGCAGATTTGCCAAGAGTGATGTCCCAGAGTGGTTGTGAAACTGCTCAAGTGAACAACTGTAAATATTGAAATGGATTTCATTCCTTCAAATGTCAGGGGGGAAATAAAAAAGTAGGAAAATTGAGACATTCCTAACAGAAAGATTTTAAAATCGTAGGAAATCAAGGGAGAGCTAATATGATCATTTTGGTCCCTTTAGATTGGAAAGCAAACTGAGCATTACTGGCCAAGTGCAACTTAATCTGTTAGCCAGATGAACATGCTTCTGTATTCATATTGTGTAAGGATGTTTGTATCCCAATGGGAGAGTGAACAGTGTTCCTCTGTGAAAACACAGGGTTAATCTCAAGCTTTTGTGAGAGCTCCTTATTGCAGCATTGGCAGCACATCAGTATTTGTTCTGGAGATTAAGCAAGAGTTCCCAGTTTGAGAAATGTTGAGATCAGTGAAAACAGAATTATTTTGGTGCCTAGAAGTTCTCCTTAGACCAGGACTCACAGATACCAGTGCAATACAAATGTGTCTGTTCAAGCATTTATCTGCAGGACTACTGCAAGGCAGAAGCTGACATGTTTCTTTTTGAAGTACAGCAGTCAGTAACTCCCTGCAGGAATACTTCTTTCACAAGAGCCCTGAAGGCTGTGGTTTTGGCGGGACAAATCTCTTGATACCCCGGTGTTATCCTCCTTTCCCTGGCTGTGCAATTCCAAGCACTTCCCTTTCATAGCTGTAATGCTTCTGAGTGAGGCAATTCAGCTCTAACATCTAATGAAGACATCCAAAAAGTTTTTGGTCTGAAACAAATTGCCCTAGAGCCCATGAGATCAGGAGGACGTGGGCAAAAAAGCAGGAGTGTATAGCTGGGAGAGGCAGGTCTGATTTTTGGCTAAAATGAAAAAAAATTAATCTGAAGGATACCAAGCAGACTAAAGCAGCCTTCCAGTATTGCTACAGAAAATATCATCCCATGGTCAAACTTCTTCCAGTTGCTACCTTGATACACAGATAATAGTGAAAAAACTTACCTGTCCTTTGATATTTAACCGCTAATATTAAACAAAATGAAGCATGAAAAAGTGCACAGAATTATGACCAGAAAACCTCACCTGCATTTTACAGTGCTAACCAGGAAAACCTGGCTCAAAAAATCATTCAAGCAGAGAGTCTAATTGACTGGGGGAATAAGTGCTGCCCACAGCTGGGTTTTTGGAGCTCTCGAGAAAGAGCAACAATTGGGTTGTGCAGGTGCCTCAAACTAACTCTGTAACACGAAAGCCTGTGAGATCCTGAGTGCATGTACCAGGGGAAACAGTGCACATTGTAACAAAAAATTGAGATGTAGCTGTACAATGGTGGTATTGGCTGAGCAGCTGTTCATTACATAGCGTTTGTGATGTGTAGAGGAAAAAAATATCCACTGTCTTACTCTACTCCTTATTTTTCAGCTTTGAAGTGGTAAGGTCCTTACTGCCTCTAGTTTTGACATCCAAGTTCTTATCTTCTTCCTTTTCCACTCTTCTTGTATTCTTTTATTTTTCCTTTGCTTTCCATTGACTGCTTCCTCTCCTTTCTTTTTAACATTTTAAAGAAATAACCAACAGCTGAGTATTAGAAACTTTAAAAAACATTGGACAGACTCTTCTCAGTCTGAGGGCTGGGTTATCTGTTAAGTCTTTTTGCTGCCTGTGCTGTTGTGGAACTTCAGCAGACCGTCTTCTTTTTTTTTTTTTTATTTCAGAAACTTCTCGCTTTAATTCCACCATGGAAGGACTTCAGTTGGCCACCAAGGATTTTAAAAGTGAGGGATAACCTGGAAGAGAGAAACCACTGTAGATTTTTTGGTATACATCTTTGGCCACCTCCCCACAACACTGCCCCCCAGTATCAACCTCTCTGACCACGTAATAATGATCAAAATTGAGATAACTTTTTGTATGGCAAAAGGTCACTTTCTGAAGCCTTTTGGGATTTACACTATTTCAGTACATCCTCAAGTGTGGCATAAAGAGATTGAGAGTGGAGACCAGAGGCATCTGTCACTATGGGGTGTGAGCTTTAGGCTGAGGTATTTCATTCACTTGTATCAGGATCCAGGACATTGGCACAGAAGCAGGCAGTGATGCTTACCTGCAGGAAATGGTGCTTGTTTTGTGTCTTAGCTGCCTCCTTCTGCCTTCACCCTCTATAACTGCACCCTTACATAATTGCACCTTTACAACCTCAGATGGTGAACATCTTCATCTGTGCTTCCTATTCACTCAAACAGGGGTGCACAACTTCCATTCTTTTCTCCTGAAACCAGTCTTTATGCTTCCCCTCAGCTAGACTCATTTGGGAATTTGGGACTACAGAAACAAGAATATTTCACTATGGAACTGATTCAAACATGCTGAAGGAAGGGTGTGTATGGTTTGTGGTAGACTGAGAAGATGTATAACTAGCACTGGTAACCAGTGATTTGATGTTTCTGTTAGTGGTGTTGGAAATATTTATGAATGTAGAGATAAATCATAATTAATTATAAAGAGCAACCTCTGTCAATTATGAGGCATGCATAGGCTGGACACTTCCTTGTAGGGAGAGGGAGTGACAGCTGTCACTTCATTTAACAATAAAAGTGTGAAAAAATATTAAGGAGAAGCAGGAAACTTGGTTGTGTCTACTTGTCAGAAATAATATTTCCCACTTGTGTAGCTTGCAGATCCGGAATATTTCTCCATTTATTCTTTGATCTCCTCTTCCTCACCTTTCCCTGCATTTGTTTATACATCAGCTGAAGAGCCAGGACTTGACTGAACTCAGGCTGAAGCTCCACCATGGTCAAATTTGCTGATGCGTCTCCATCTTCTACTTAAATACTGCATCTACATGAAAGCAGTTAACAATGTATGTATTTCTAAATTAATGTTGTTCCACTTGCAAAATTTTCTGGCTGCAGTGTTTGAATTCATCTCCCATGGACATGTGTGTGTCTTCCTTGGCTAGAAATGTCCTGCTCTCCTACCAGCAGGACATTATATGAAATGTAAGGGAGAGGAGAAAGGTAGTTCATACCCCTTATAACCACAGCTTCAGAGTTCTGTGTTGTACTAGTGGCAGCAGACAAGTTAGTTTGATTTCAGGAAAATGTCACTCAGCACTGTCTTCCTACTTCTATTTATTGAGCGAGAAATCTGAATGCCTCTGTTTTCTGTTACTGAATCCTGGCCTTACAGAATGCTTGAAATAAAAATAGTTTTCAAAATCTCACCGTACTCTTGTATGAGCAAGTCATGTTTAATCTCTTAGTAGAGTGTTGCCAGTTTAAGTTTACTTTAACCCCCTATCTGTGAATTTTAAATTTTCTGCCACATTTTCCCCACTTACTTCAGTTAGCGTTGTGTGCCATGTCCCTGGGGAGCTAGGCTTTCTCCCTATGTGTGAACACTCTCTTTAGCATTTTTTGGAACCTCAGAACCTAAAGCTCCAGCATTGAGGTTTGGTGGCGGTGTGTGCCTGGGGCATACCTGGAGCTGGCTCCTAACCAAGCTGGGCATGATGCTGTGCATAGCTCTGAGAAGGGAGGGTGTGATACCACTCCAACTCTTTTTGGTTTTATTGCAAACTGTAATTTCTTTGGCTTCTTTGGTAAGCAAGTTAATGGAAATCAGGTTTTCTTTAGAGGACAGAAATCTTTAAATCTTCCTTTACTTTCTCTTATGATAATATGTTTGAAAAAGATAATTAGGGTGGTGTAGTGAGCGTGATGCACAGGATCATTCGTTCAGTGCTCGGCAGTTGGCATCCTTGTTGCTTCTGTGGTTGAGGAGGACTCCAGTAGCTCGTTGCTAGCAAGGGGACGGGCGGCGAAGTGTCCTTGCATACCTGGTGTCCTGTAACCAGCCCTACTTCTCTTTGGGGCTTTGATGATTCCTTCCCTTTCGGCCCTGCCCTGTAGTTCGCAATACAGAGAGGCAGCACCTCGGACTGGAACGCTGTCAGGCTGCTGCCTTTGAGAAACTGGGGAATAATCCTGACTGTAAATAACTGGAGATGGTATCTCGGGCCAAAGTTCCGAGTCTGCGGCGGGTGCCGTAGCTGAGGCTTTGGCTGTGCAGCCGCACACGCCCGTCCTTGCCCGAGTCTCCGCTCCCGGCCGCTTTCGCTTTCGCGGGACAAAGTCTGGCCCGG